CTAACTAAGAATTTTGAGCTACAAATCGTGAGTTCGACTTCCACGCCGGGTCGACTTGAATGCCAGATTGGCTTGGACGCCGCAATTTACAGTAATAAGAATCAGTCTCTACACGAAATTTATTGCTGTGTTGATGAGATCTAATTAAGAAAATTGCCTGCACACTAGTGTATTTCACTGAGCAGATGTTCCGTCAACATCGCGCTAATTATATCCCAGAGATTAAAATCAAAGCATCTGTGTATTCGAGCCATAGCTTGGAAAGATAACTAGTAAGTTTGTAAAGTATTGCTCCAAGAAACAAAGCCAATTATATCTATAATAATACATTTGGATAAAAAGTGGTAGATTTTGTCGGCGTACGCACGCCAATAAAAGTCTTACTGTGTATCGATTTACTGTAAAATAAGTATATTTGTAGTTTATTGTTCCGTTTATTTCTGCCAGATTTCGTTTAATTTGTCCAACGTAAAAAAATAAATATATGCAGAATATACGTTAATTCGAGCGTTATAATGAAAAATGCACTTTTTCGATTATTAAGGCATAATTCGTTTATTTCGTTGCATGTAAGAAAAAGTTATGTATGGTTTAATGGACAGCGTTTTAGAATCCAAAATCCGAAACCTGAGATCGATTTCAAATCTAGTTCGTTAAATTCAATTATACACAAATATCTTTGTAAATGGTATGAAATGCATCTTTTTTTGCCTCAACTCCAACTATAGATAAATAGCAGGGCAAGGTGGGCCCTATAGACTTTGTTGGCGAAACAGCCTAGGAGAAAGAAAAAGAAAATTGTGAACTCAAACCAGCCTGTAGAGGATAAGTCGCCATTAGGCTATCTTGCTTAAAACCCACCCCACGTCTGCTACGGATTCAGTACACATGGTTGTCCTACCACCCTAAAAGGTTAAGGGATTCGTGATAATGCTCGTGAAGAAACTGTAGAGTATGCATTAATTCGAGTTATATTTTGGAAAATTAAAATAAGCCTATATTTGTAATGCATTTTATTATATAAACTTCGCGTGTGCGTGCGTGCGTGCGTGTGTGTGTGTGTGTGTGTGTGTGTGTGTGTGTGTGTTTGGAGGCAAGGTTGACTAATTGATAGCGGCTCCGATTGAGGTTTAGTTAAGTACATTCACTTACTTAGATCCATTTCTCTGTCAGGGTAAATTCATTTCCCCCTCAGGTCAGATTGAGGCAGATTGGTTTGCAATCAGTCTAGGAGGAGAACTCTGAAACCAGCCTGCTATGGCTGCAGTGGATGTGCTATGGGATTGATGATGATGATAATGATGATATATATATATATATATATATATATATATATATATATATATATATATATATATATATATATGTAGTGATTTTATAACATAATTGTGTTATAATTTTCGAATAAATTATATATACTATAATAATATATATATATATATATATATATATATATATATATGTGTGTGTGTGTGTGTGTGTGTGTGTGTGTGTGTGTGTGTGTGTGTGAAAATATATAGAAAATAGGAAAGAACTGGTTAGGTAAATAATCCAAAGTTCCTTAGTATTTTTAGTTATTATTTTTAAAAATAGTGCTCGATACAAAAGGTAGAGCATAAATATAATTATTTATTTAAAAATATAATTCCAACTCGCGACATAAGAGGTCTCATGTTTCAAAACAAGAGCCGAAAACTTCAATATAATTATTTGAATTAAATTGAGTTAAGGTAAGCTCTGTTCCATCTTCAAGCGAAATTTTTTTGGAATAACTTATTTCTGATATTTACGTGTTTTAATAGTATATTCATAATTGAAATCAAAATTTCCATAGTAACAGCTAGGGCGAATTGTTTAAATTGGGTAGGAGTGTGTTGTTATTATTAAAGCTTCCATTATTTTTAGTCGTTCTGTTGATTGTCCTAAACAGATCTTTAACCATTTCCGAATATGAGGGGAGGTGCTCTGGATTTCTCTCCATGTTTGAATGTTTAAGATGTATTTTTGTGGTGTATTTGAATCCTAGTAGGAACTTTTATTCCGAGCTTCGCGGATGGAATTTGAGTGAGCACATTTCTATTACATATCTATATCTATAATTCTCAAAATGTGTGTATTTATGTATGTGTATGTGTGTGTGTGTATGTGTATGTGTGTGTGTGTGTGATCGGATGTTGTTTCGTCGTTTCCACAGTTTTCATCCGATTCCGATGATTTTTTTTATTTTGTTTCATAGATAATTGAGCCCAAATTGTTGGTGACAATGGCTCTCCACTACTTCTTGTCCATTATAAATCTCAGCGACGTTTTACTATTTACTATATTATCTTGGATATATATCTTTCATAAAAAACTTAAATAAAAATAAATACTTCAAATTATTACAATAATATTATCTATACTTATTATTCTCAAAATGAGTGCGTCTTTGTGTCTGTGTGGATGTGTGTGTATATGTGTGTATATGCGTGTGTGTATATATATGTGTGTGTGTGTGTGTGTGTGTGTGTGTGTGTGATCGAATGTTTTTTATGCGTTCCGACATTTTTCATCCGATTTCGATGATTTTTTTTTTTGTTTGATAGATAATTCATCAGTGCCGGTTTTGAGTTCAAATTACACATTCCCTTTCTCTTGGCCAAGCAATTCAGTCTCTCTCAAATGAGGTTACCTTTTGTGTTACATAAAGCCTACAGTTTTAAGGGATTGCTTTCATTCCCGTTCATAGCCGTTCCCATTTTACATTTTTTTTCCTGCCAGTTTTTGCATTGCAGTCAGCGTTTATGGAAGCTTGTTCCAAACTTTCCTAAAGTTATTCGAGTTTGGGATCCCTGTAGCTTTACAGCGTTCTCTTCTGGTATTTGCCCAAGCATTCCATCTGACAATTCATACTTGCCTAAGACCTGCCACCAACGAACAGAACTTGCCATTGTCGCAAAACCGCTGCCACGAGGTCCGACATGCGAATAAGAGATAACGGCTTTAGAACGTTCAGTTTACCTGCCTCAAAATGCTTCTAGGAATGCTTCAATCAGAGCCACTGAATCCTAAGATCAACTTAGCCATCGACTTTCCAGAAGAGCATACATGAACACTTCCGCGCGCGAGGATGAATATGATGATCAAAGGACTCAGTGTCTGAGGAGAAACCTCTCTTCAACTGCTGTTGCGCATGAGGCTGAAACTGCTGATCAAAGGAATCAATGGCTGAGACGAAAAGCTTCTTCAACTGCTGCTGTGGGTGAGGCTGAAACAAGAGTGAGAACGTAAAAACGGCCCTTTTCAGGGATACCACACATTCACATTTGTTAACCCCCCATTTGGGGATGTGCCTCAGTTGCACCCAGTTGTTGTTACTAATATTGACTTTTGGGTGGGCTTAAACTGATCCAATTGAACGGCAATATACTGCTAGTATATATATATATATATATATATATAAAATGATGGTGCCTCGTGGAAAAATTGATAACGGCAAGCTTGGGCTGAAGAAGGGATTACCCCGATGAAAAAAGGTGACAATGTTCCGATATCTGGTTAGGAGATACATTTTTCTTGTCTTCTTCTTGGCCGGTTGATATCAATTTTATCATCTAAGAGAATAGAAATTAAAACGGATATCAACTCAAACACCAGAGCCCCACGCACTTAATTCAGAGTTTAGAAAGTACAGGAGCCAGTTTGGTAACGCTCGCCAACACTGCAAAAAATAATAATGATGTATCTGATCACGATATTAAATGTAATTTTTTTAATCATTAACTTCAACAAAGCAATAAACATAAATTAAATTCTGAAACAATTCATTCAATAAACGAAGAAAACATGAATATAGAAACAGAAACGTTTTATTTCAAAGAAAATCAGGAAATAAAATTATATTTCTAAAATTAATTCAATAAGGTAAATATAGAAAAAATTAAAGAGGCTAAAGAAAGAGAAAATATGAATAATTTTAAGTGAATGTTTTGAGTCCCTAACGTTGTCATGTTTAAATGATACATGTCATTAACTGAAAGTTCAGTGAGATAGAAACTAAATAGGCGTGAATGGTAAGGAGGACACACTTGACAAAAGTGGTTGGCAGGCAACGAGGTTCAGCGGTGAGATTTATGATGCTTGAAATATAATGACACTTGAAATGTTTTCTTCAGTTGATTAAAACCTGGATTCGTTAATAACATATTCGCAGATAACATGAAAGACAGATAGATAAATAGATAGACAGATAGAAGGAAGAGAGAGAGAGAGAGAGAGAGATGAAAAATGATACAGAAATAGATATGAACATATGAAATATAAAGAGAGAGAAGCGTAAAAATAGACAGAAGGATAAGTATGGACACCGGATATATATATATATATATATATATATATATATATATATATATATATATATATATATATATATATGCACAGTTCTTAATGGAAAGTGTTCGATATCTGTGGTATAGCTCGCATATTCAGTTGTATGGATATTAATTTGTAACCATGGGTTTCACGCTTTTGCGATCATCAGAGTTTGTTGATGATCGCAAAAGCGTGAAACCTAGGTTGCAAACTAATATAATATACATACATATAAATATATATATATATATATATATATATATATATATATATATATATATATATATATATTAGTGTTTAAACGATATTTTAAGTGGAACTTAATGAGATTTGTCGAATTTACAGGCCGGTAATATATATATACACTGTACTGTTCAGTAACAAAACAAAGCATCTGGTCAAATATGGGTATCAACTAAAATAACGTTTAAACAATAAAATTAAGTGTCTGATTAATTAATGTAAAATACATCCTAAGATAGATAGATAGATAGATAGATAGATAGATAGATAGATAGATAGATAGATAGATAGATAGATATGAACGGATTGCCATAAAAAGATGCATAGATAGAGACAAACGGACATAGACAGAGGGATAAGTACACAGATATGATCACAAATATGTAGATATAAACGAATTGAGCGAGCTAGCTAGATAGATAGTCAGACAGATAAATAGAGAGACCGACAAAGAGATAGATAGATAGATAGATAGATAGATAGATAGATAGATAGATAGACTGAGAGCGACCGAGACAGAGAAATACATAGATATAATTAAAAATAGATAGATAGATCGATAGATAGATACAATGAGTCAGACAGACAGACAGACAGACAGATAGAGACTTAATAAATACATAAATATGATCATATATATATATATATAAATATATATATATATATATATATATATATATATATATATATATATATATATATATATATATATCAACAGATTGCGATAACTAGCTAGATAGATAGATAAATAGATAGATAAAGACGGAATGAGACAGATCGGTATATAAAAACAGAAGGAGATAGATACATAGAGAGAGAGAGAGAGAGAGACTGAGAGATAAATACAAAAATATGATCGCAGATATATATATATATATATATATATATATATATATATATATATAGAGAGAGAGAGAGAGAGATAGATAGATAGATAGATAGATAGATAGATAGATAGATAGATCACCAGTCCTTAAAGTAGTATAAACGCAATAATTTGCATGTCCACTTAAATTGTCCTTACTTATTGTTACTGCAAAGTAACTGATGTACCTGTATTGATTTCGAAACATACTTCACTTATTTCACATATAAATAGTTATCCATCTGTATCGACGCTCCAATTATTTTCATCTGCATTTTGACAGGCTAACACATCGAGAACACCACTTATTAGGGAATGCGGAATAAAATTACAGAAATATTCACATTGCACATGTCAACAATTTAATGCTTATTTCTTCTTTATTCGTCTTATTTTTATTCATATGCAATTTGTATTTCGACATTAAAAATGTATTTTATTCCAATGTCATTTATCTTTTAGAAATGCTCTTTATTTTAAAAAAAAAATCATCGTTTTGTTTTCGTCGAGCAAAGACATCTTACGAGGGCGAATCCAAAAATTCATTTGTTTTATTATATAAGAAAACATATTGTGGAGAACCGAGTTCCAATTCCCCTCGGGTTTGTTATATATATTTACACGCAAATAACTTTGGGAAAGGCATGAAACCAACTCTTCTTCTCCCAGCTGTGGGTTAATTAGTATGTGATTTTGTCTTTAATCTATTATCATGTCAAAAATATATTCTTACAATGTAAAAAAAAATACCTGGCATTAAATAACCTGTAAAAAATGAATAAATTAAATATACCGTATATCAGCGGCCACTTCGACGTTTTGCATTGTTTATTACACTTGTCTCGTTAAATCACTCACAAAAGAATGGTGCGGTCGATCCTGACTGGGTGCTCAATATTTTCGGCCTTGTGCTAAGATGAGAAAATCATTTTAGTTCGATCCTCACAAGGTGTCCTATACTTTCTGTTTTATGACACTTCTAAGCCGCGCTTAGAAAATCAATTTAGTTCGATCCTAAGTGGGTGCCCCATACTTTCGTCATTGTTGCACATCTCATCTGGGTGCTACATACTTTCGGCCTTGTGCCAAAGCTAAGCTTAGAAAATCATTTAAGTTCGATCCTCACTGGTTACACATATTTTCATTAGACTTTGTTTACGCAGATTTTGAAGAAATTGAAAATAAATTATTCGCGGAAGTATTTTTTAACCGCATTCTCTTTCCTGTTGTACAATATATTTATATTATATGATATATATCTATATTATATTATATATATATTTATATTATATTATATAAATTTATATTAAGTTTCCCATATAAAGCATTAATAACTTAGCAAAAAAAAATCAACTTCCATGTTTGTTTTTATGCATGCGTTTACAGATCGCATCATCTATCAGAAATTTAATTTAAATTTTTATTATTGCATTATTCCAAAATTTTAACACATCAGCAGATATCTATTAATGTCAACAACTGAGCACAAATAGCTATTAATAAAAAGAATTAGTAATTAATGTATATTTTCCATAACTAAATGTACAAGAATGCCGTTTTTGATAAAGGTTTAAAAAATAACCACGAATATGTAAAAAATATGTATATTATCGATTTTTTTCCCACTGTATAACTATCTGTGCTATGTTATAATGTTTATTATCTAAACAATAATAATACTGAATATTTTTTAAACATTAAAGTATATTTAATCACATCTCCCGAATAGATGCGATCTGTCAATTCGATTTTTACATTAAATAAAATTCGGTTACATTTGAAAGATGGGGTTATTACATTTCGCAAAAAGGAAGTCAACCAAAATTCGAGAACACCGTTGAAAATTAATAAAAGCAAATTAAGTAGTATAAAACAAAACATTTTCTAATGAAATTATTAAACAAAAAAATACCCTAAATTAATAAATAAAATCATTTTTGATATCAAAATATTAAAACTTCATAAAATTGTTCTCCACTTGGATTCTTCGCTATACGGACATTAAAGGAAATCATTTTGCCATCACTTGGGCAAAAGACGCAACGAAAAGGGAAATAACCAATATTAAACTCCCATATACAGATTATAAAAACAAAATTACATGACACGTCAAGAGAAAATGGCAAGCAATTTGAGTTAGGTTCACAAACAATAAACTATATGAAAATCAGTCGACAATAAGAAAGGTGAATATAGAGCCATTAGCTGATCGAAGACAAGACATGGTGCTTAACAGAATAAGAATTAGATACACACACTTGACACACACACATACAGGGTCAAGGCAGAAACTACATGTCAGTGTATACACTGCAATCAATTTCTCACAGTCAAACATATCTTGGTAGAATGTAAGAAGTACAAAAAATAAATAATTATTACCAAGCTCAAAATCTTAAGATACTATTTAAAAAAGTACCTACTACCCAAATAATAGGATATCTGAAGAAAATAAAATACTTACAACTTCTATAGAAAATAGAGCAAGCATGTTGAACCATACAACTTATGTTTTAAAATACTCCTGAACTATATAACTTGGGAAATTTTGAAAACTATTTTAAAAGCTCAAAACCACTTGAAATGTTCTGAAATATTCCTGAATATAAATCCTGTTTGAGCTTTTAATAAACCAAAGATGTTAATATGCTAGTATAACAAGTCCATCCATCTATTCACTTGATGGAATCTGAAAAGCCGCCCATTCTGAACAGCGTGTTGACTAGCATTTCAGGCATCTTTATTTACACTATTTTCCTTTGGTCTATTGTCTTCATCTTTGTTATTGTGCCCTCCACGTACAGGAAATTCGAAACTGAAACCTTTTCATTTAATCTGCATGGGTAGATGGTTTACTTTCCACTGGCCATATTTAGTTATATCTAATTATTTTTAGTAATGCTCAGTTATTCTACGCACTGACTCCAATTAAATACAGGCCGTCTACTAAAGAGATCCTTCATAGCCAAGCTTATGCACTGGCTCCTTCACACATCTGACTAATGTCAGCGCATCAGGCAAGGGGATTAAAGTCTTGATTCGTGAATTTGGTGTCAGACAACATACTTAGTGTGAACGTGGACTCATTGGAATCGAGTGAGCAATAAGGAAAATAAATATGAACTAGACAATACGTGGACAGTGGAACGAGAACGCGTATATTAACGCATTCTGTTCAGAATTCCCTGTAAGTTACACAGATTGACATACACTTGAAGAAGGGATGGCGCCATGGCCGAAACATTGCGATAACAACATCAAAGATGAGGACAATATTTCTTATGTAATTAATGATGATTACCTGCCCAGGTTTATAAGCGTTTTTTTTTTTGGGTTTTTTTTTTTGTCCATTTTTGCTCGGCTTATTTTCAGACTGATTATCATTACTAATGGCACTAAAAAGCCAAAATCTAAATAACCCTCTGATCATTAATCTTCTACAAAGAATCAATCTCATCACTCAAAACCAAAACATTATTTTCTGCTGGATTCCCAGCCACATTGGTCTCAGAGGAAACAAAAAGCAGAAGAGAATTCCACAAGCGAGAAGTGTGAGAAAACAAAGCGTTAACAAGCAGTTTAATGTTATATCTGCCAACACATGTGTATATTAATAATATCTCGACGTCACTCTAGTACTGCGCTAACATTCATAAAGTCTAGATACCATAGCAAAGGGTTCATCTGAACAATTTCCGTGAAAGTATTTATAGCAAAGGCAGAGGGAGGCAACCTTACGGCGATGGGCAAGTGACTGGATCCGAGACGCCAGATCACGTCCAATAATATTGCTGATTCTTCTTTGGGTGTTATCAAAGAGCTCTGCATAAATAACCGGTGCAACGGGACATATGTGGGATCAATATTCTAAGGATGAACGAATGGTAGACATAGAATTGTAGAATAGATTCTGAAATGAGAAATTGTCTTGCACGTCACAGAGAACCAACTTTCTTAACAGCTGACCTAGCAATCGATTCAATATAGTCATTCCACATCATATCAGCCGGGACAACTGCATTAGTACGATGGATCTAGATGAGTGACAGTTCAGGATAATTTTTATTCCACGTCCTATGTGCAATTAATTTTTTCTATTACTGTTGGAAATCTTCAAGTGATGGTTATGTTATGTGTAATGCTCTTTGTTTGTGATTCTGTAGCTTTAGTCTATAAGATCTGATGAAGTGCTAACTTCCTTAAGACCTACAGGATTCATTCACTTGAAACCATTTTTAATCATTAATCTGAGAAGGCGTTAGCAGATAGTTGATAGTTTCGACATTTCTGAAAGGGTTGGATGCCATGTCTGACATCCACATGAGAGATGAAGCTATTTAATAACACGACGAATTCTCAACATATTATTTTGGCCTTTGTAGCATCTTACAATGTTGGACAAGCCTTCCTTCCTGCAAAGTAACCTGTGTTCGTCATCCTTATCCCTTATACTAAATTTGTTATGAATTGCCCATATTGTGAGGTATTTGAATTCTTTAGAATACATTCAATTCACATTGTGAAATTTTATTCAGGGTATGTGCCATCCCCACTCTTATTCCAATATAAGATCATGGATTCTTCTTTGAAAAGGATTAAGTTCTACTTCTTGGAATATTTGGTAAATTGCGTAGCAGACATTGGTGTGGAAAGTGGAATCGGTGCCCTACGAGATTTGATCAGCATCAAAACTGTTGCTATGGTAACCGGATGTTCATGCATGGCGTATTGGTTAATACGTAA